AGACTAGTCTATCTAGTCCAGTGTGCTCAGGAGTCATCAAGGAACCAGTTCCCATGCAGGTACCTGGACTTCTCAAACATCCAACACAAACTCCAAAAAGTGATCTTTTATCAGCCCCGTGTTCTCAGCATGTCCCCCTCTGTCAGTGTCATAATCTGTCTCCAGCCTGAGAACCTTCTCCTCAGGAGCACATAGTGGGACTGTCTGGCCTCTAGAAAAAGCAAGTGAATGATCTGTGAGCCCACAGTCAACATGGAGAGGCCATTACCCCTGACTCAGTCTTTTGAGAGACATTTCATTACCATCATCACCACCACCACCACCACCACCATCATCATCATCATCACTATCATCAGTATCACTGTCGCTATCATCAGCATTATCACCTCCATCACTGTCACCATTGTCATCATCACCATCTCTACCATCACCACCATCATCAGTATCATAACCGCCACCCTCTTCATCACCCTCATCACCACCATCATTACCACCGCAGCAGCATCAGCAGAGTCTCTGTTATTACCACCATCACCATCACCATCAACACTATCATCATCATATCTCCATCACCATCACCATCACCACTGTCATCACTACCATCTCTACCATCACCACCACCACCATCATCATCATCATATCATAACCACCATGCTCATCATCACCATCATCACTACCCCCATCACCATCACCACTGCCTCTATCATTACCACCATCACCACCACCACCATCATCATCATCATATCATAACCACCATGCTCATCATCACCATCATCACCACCCCCATCACCATCACCACTGCCTCTATCATTACCACCATCACCATCAACACTATCATCAATCACATCATCATCACCACCACCATCACTCTCACCGCCACCACCACCATCATCATCATTCCCGTCACCATCATCATCATTGTCACCATCACCATAATCCTTATCAGCTTTCCTCACAGTTCCCTGCAGTGCTCACCCAACTTTCCTCCCACTACTGGAGACATGCTTTAGAAGATTCCAAGCACTTAGTCCAAGGCAGCAGGCAGTTCCCACCCTGCCTTGCACACATCTCTCACTGAGCCCAGTCCTTCTAGTGACTACCCTCCTGGACCGGAAGCCTGCCTGCAACTCGGTTGGGATCTGGCCCTGATGCTAGGACAATGGAACAGTTCCCCTGTCTATAGGTGCCACATGTTCTCTCTTACCCCATCCCTCCACTCTCTCCATCCCCTCAGCATCACCAAAATCTAGTGAGAATCTGTCCCTTCACAGGGACAATGAATGTCATTTCGGGGACGTTTTTCCCGAGGTATCCAGCTTGTAATCAGAGTCTGGACTTAGAACCCTCAGCAATGTCCCCTCCCCACCTGATACTATACCTCTGTGCTCACCTGCATCATCCCAGGCCTACATTGCCCAGTGACACACAATGCCAGCCACATCAAAAAGATCAGAAGCAGGTGACTTCAATAGTATATAGTATAATAGTATAATATTGGCTTCAATAGTATATTTTGTTGAATCCAGTATGTACTCCAATTATATCCGATCAATAGGAATCAGGATAGGAAGGAGCAAGCCTGCCATTCTAGACTGTTCCCACTGAGGTCTGTAGTCTGGGGCAATTCTTGGTACAGCTTGCTGCAGCTCAGGAGCCCAGTGGCCTATGACAGGAGCTGCAGTGGGCAGTGCAGGTCTGGACCACAGCACATTCTCTGCCTCAGTGGGCAGTGCTCACTGTGTTGCATTAGTCCATGTGGAGTCTAAGGGTGCATGCCAGAACTGAACAGGCTCTCGAGCCCTCCTGGCCTTTATCCTCCCCTTGGCTGGCAAGTGGGGTACCCTCAGAGTACTGAACACAAGAGCACATGTGCCAGAGCCTGGATCCAAGACCCTATAATCAGTGGCTTCTGGGGCTGCAGTGGCCCAGCCATGGCTGCAGCTTCTTCCCTGCCTAAGAGATAGATGGCGGGGCACCCTGGAAGGTTTTAAAGCTGCTATCTTCACCAGGTCCTGGGCAGACAGAGCTGTCCCTAAACTCTGTACTGTGCAGTGCATGGGTCTGTCAGTGGACCAGAGTTCTGCCCAATGCCCAGTGGTGTTTGTTTCTCAAGATAAGTATGGAGCAACCCTTCTGAGTCCCATCCCTGGACAAACACCCCATTCAAGGGGCCCGACTGACTTTCAGCAGTCCTCCTGGAGCGTCTTGTCAAGCTTCATTATGGGGCTGAGCAGGGGAGGGGCTTGAGGGCAACCTCAGGGGAGTGATCTGGGGACTGTGGAAAGGGACCAGGTGGAGATGCAGATCCACGCCATTGTACCACACCAAGGCATGTGAACAATGTCTGGTGGTCATGTTCACCCTCTCTTTTAGAGGGAGGATTTTGTCACATGCCCAAGACCCCAGTATTCTGCAGTGGGTTCTGGAAATAGAGAATAAGTTTGCATCCCTCATCCAAACAATGAGGTTTACATATTTCCCTTGCCCCATTCCCTCACACACACAGAACTGTGCATGATCCACATACATGGGCAGGGGGAGATGCTACAGTGGGCACAGCCTGTATCCCAGCCTTTCTATCTTGGACAACATTGCCTTGTCCTTTCTTGTTCCAACATGTGGGCGGATGTTCCAGTTTCTGCACAAGGACCCAAACCAGGGCAGTGAAAGACTTCATGCACCCAAGTTCAAATGCCAGCTCCAAGGACTGCTAGCTTTGTGATCTTAGGCGATTAACCACTCTGAGCTTCAGTTTTTGCATTTATAAGGGAGGGTGGTTATATCTGCTTAATGTTGTGACAAGAATTTCAGAGATACTTAATGTCAATGAACTTGGAGGCATGGAGGCAGGCCTCCTGTCTCCACACAGGCATGGCATGTGGGTATTCACTGTGTGCCACAGTACTTAGTTGGGCTTTGACACTCTGGCCCCTTTCTCTTAGGAGGTGAGCATTCAGAAAGAAAAGAAAGGAAAAAGAGAGATAAAGCAAATGTGTCAAAAAAAAATAAAGACAAAACAGTGTCAAATACAGCTTTGCATCTGAGCTCAGGATCCTGCCTCCCCCAGCCTGGATGGTCCACTCCTCAGCTGGCCTCTCTTTCCATCAGCCCCATTTAGTTACATGCACGTCAGACAGCACCTCCCTCCCAGCCCACTTCCTTTATAGTCCTCTTGGCGGTTCTCACTTCCCACATACTTTTTGTTCCATATGGACTTTGTTCATCATTCTTTCCATGAGAGCCCTCCAGGCCCTTCACTGGACTTGAACTCCCTTTCTGTATTAGTTCCAGAGGATGCCATGTGTGGAATTTGGCTAAAAAGCTAGGTGCTGATTTCTGGGTAGAGCCCTGCTCTTTCCCATCAGGGGCTGTGTCCCTGGATGGGGATTTTAAGAATGTCCTGAGAACTCAGGTTGCTGGACCTTTGTCCTGGGAGGTCCCGAGTCCCCTAATAGTATGGAGTCTGCTGCTGCTGCTGCTGCTCCCGCTGCTAGGTCCTTCTAGATTCTGGGTCTCTTTGTTGAGATCCCCTGACTGAGCCCTGGCTGTCTGAACTCCTCCGCCCCCCCACCCCCCGCCCCAGCTGCTCTGGGAGGGTGATCAGGTTCCAGTAGCGCAGGACCCACTATAAACTCTCCTTTCCTCCACTCACTCCAACTCTGGCCATCAGGGAACTCTCACCATTTCTCCATCCATACCCGGCCCTCCCAGACTCAGCCACCTGCAGGCCTGTACCCAGTTCCAGCCAGTCTTGAGGCAGAGGCAGCTGGGGCTCCTTCCTTCTTGGGCTCCAGTGGTAGAAAATGCTAAAGAACGGTGAGTACGTGCCTTCAGAGATCTGAGTGTGACTTTGGCCACACACTCATCCCACCTTGGGCAAATCTCTTTATCCCTCCATGCTTCTGTTTCTGGCCATCGTTTGTGAATAGAGCTGGTATCTTTTCTTTTTTTTTTCTGAAGGGTTAGGTTCCGGCACCTACAGCCAGCAAGTACTATGAAAGCACTAGAGGACTTACACACAAACCAAACATGTTTGTTCTCCATGCATTGCCCCTAAGTGCCTCAAGGGTGCCTGCCACCTAGTCTTAGCCAGGACTGAGCCTACCCTTGGTGGAATCTGACTGAGTCTGTGGGCCTACAGGCAGTTAGCTGGACCCTGACCCTCAGTTTCCTCCATCTCCAGTAAGTGTTAATTCCAGAAGAAGCCCTGGTGTAATTCAGTAACAATAGCCTTCTTGCCAACTCCCACTGTCCTTGGCCTCCATGTAGGACCTCAGGCTTAGTAGCTGCCAGACTGCCTACTCTGATGCCCTAAGCTGGCTTCTTTCTGCCCAGTCGCCCACCCCACTGCCCTGAGTGGCTTCCCCTCTGCCCAGTTCCAACAGGCTGCTCCGTGCTGCCACGTGTCTTTCTCCCCTGGCTCCTGAGGGTGCAGCCTGCTGTCTCCCACTCTGGTACGCACGTGAGAGAGAACCCTCAGGTGCCTTCGGGGTTGGCAGGATAGGAGCATGCTCACTGGACAAACCACAGAGGGCCATGCAGACTCAAGGTGGAACTGGAAAACTCCAACCTCTGTTTGCTCAGGAGCACTTAGCCAGAAGCTGGAATTCCCTCCCAACTTTTTCAGACATTTCTCAGCACCTTTCCTTGAGGGATCTCTGATGCACAAACCCCAAGACTCTAGATGTCCCCCAATAACTCCCTCCCTTTATGCTGCTCTGAGAGGGCCAGTGATCAACCCAAGATCACACCACTGGTCTGAGGTGCAGACCCCCATGTTCTGTGGAGTGGTCCTTTCTGTGGGCAGAGGAAGGCAGTCTGCTTCCCAAGGGGTTCTCCTTCCTCCCCACTCAGCCAGCTTCTGCTGACCCCAGCAGCCCCTCTCCCCTCCTCCCTAACCACCACTCCAATCCTTCTTGTCCTGACCCCCATCCCTTGGCCTCAGCAACAGGCAGAAAAGGAGTAAGTCCCCATTCTGGTCCCTTCCAGGCAGGACTCACCATGGCCAGGACGCTGCCCGCCACTGCAGCTGCCACGGCTGCCAGCGTCCAGGGCAGGAACCACCTCATGCCTGGAGGTCAATGGCACAGATGCTGCGGCTCAGCCCAGAAGATGCAGCTGCCTCTTGGGGGAGCTGGGCCAGGACTGGGCCGGCCCATCAGAGCAGTACAGAGCCTTCCTCAGCCCCCCCCCACCCCAGGGGGAGTTTATGAAAGCGACAGCTGACGTCAGGCCCACAGACGGGCCCTGCGTTTTCCTCTGAAGAAACTTTTCCTGCCTCTCTCTCTCTCTCCCTTTTTTTTTCTTCCCTCTGTCCCCACCTCCAGCCCAACTTGGCCAGCCTCTCTGCTCTGACAGCTCTTAAAGGGAAAGTTCCAGCACTGTAATTTCACACACAGGAGGTGAAATCTCACCCAGCATCCTCTGTGCTCCCAAAAGGCTCTGAAGGCAGGAGGAAACTGAAGGAGGGTGTGGGCTGGAGGTGAGGATGCTGAGGACCATGTGGGGTCTTTGCCAGGGCTCAGGGAGGAGGTGCCCTCCTGTTTCCCTCCTAACCCATAGCTAGCCTTCATTACTGTCTCTTATTACTCTGTCTTAGCTGTAAGCAGAGAAGGTTCTCCCTCCACTCACCCAAAAATGACAAGAATTCACCAAGGAGATGCCTCGAGGCATGATCTATCAGCAGGTCTGCACTGTTCTCAAAGCCATGGGCACAGATGGCCAGTCCCCTCCTGGCTCCTCAACCAGGGGTCTCGGAGTGCTGGTTCATGTCCAGTGTCAGTGAACCCTTCTTATTCCTCATGGGATGGGGCTCCCGTTCTTAGCCCCTGCTGGAATCTGGCTAAAGAAGTCTCAGATTTGTCTGATGAAGGGAGAGGGGGCAGGGAGCCTTCTACCCCACACAGCATCTCTCTATGGGCACTGTGCATCCTCCCGCCTCAGCTTCCCCCCTGCCCTCTCCTGATTCTGAGTCTCAGAAGGACCAGAACGGTCTTCAGACTGGCATCATGGCTAATGTGGGGCACTTATTGTGGGTCTCAGTGCAGTCCCCAGTCCTGACATGGCCTTTGGGCAGGCGCTTCTCCAGACACGGCTTTTCTCTAACCCTCTCATGCACCATGTCCGTCCTTGATACCTGCTCACTGCTGCCCATCTCCAGCCTCAGTAGGAAAGCTCTACTCTGTAGCTCCTCTACCCTTCCTTCCCCTTTCCCAACAGCTCATTAACAAGGGACACAGGAGCACAAGGGTCGCTTGGGGAAGTGATGTGCTGAGCCCACAGAAAGTGTTTATGATCACAGTAAACATGACCCCCAAGAGGTGACTCTGCTGATTTTTCAGTCATAAGCATTGCAGTGAACCTCTAACCAGTTCCGGCCAGTTGAGGCATAAAGGGACATCTAGACAGGATCTCATTCATCAAGAAAAAAAAAATATCTCTATGCATCTTCTTTCCTGAAATCATCACCTCCAGGTTTCTCATTATATGACGTAAGCCAGTGGTTTATTACCTTAGTAATAGGTAGTTGAATACTTTGTTCTTCGAATTCATGTTGACTGATAGATGAGGCTTCCGGCCAGTTGAGGCATAAAGAGACATCTAGACAGGATCTCATTCATCAAGAAAAAAAAAAATATCTCTATGCATCTTCTTTCCTGAAATCATCACCTCCAGATTTCTCATTATATGACGTAAGCCAGTGGTTTATTACCTTAGTCATAGGTAGTTGAATACTTTGTTCTTCGAATTCATGTTGACTGATAGATGAGGATTAAACAAAATTGTATCTGTAAAATGTAAATCAGGGCAGGAGTGCAGGAGCCACATGGAGACCAATCATCTCAATGAATGTGCACTTTCTTTTCACTAACACTCAAGGCTGTAAGCAGGAACCCAACAAGGGCTGTGTGCTGGCAAGTGACACTGAAGGAATCTCCCCAAGTACTGGGGGCCAATCAAAGGTCTGTGGCCTTTTGATGGACAGCAGGCGTGGGTTTGTCCCATGCCGTAGGCCATCTCACAACTCTAGTTAGGCAGCCATGCCTACCCACCCCCTGTGCTTTGACCAGGCAGAGCAAGATCAGAGGTATTGAGCAACTTCAGGGTTCCCACATTAGAGTCCCTGAAACCAGAGTCCCTTCATCATTGCTGGGCACAGGGTCAGGAACAGATTTCCCAAGCCGCACTGACCAGCCACAGCCCCTCAGGTTTCCAAGTCTCCAGCCTGCTAAGAGGAATCCACTGAATGTCAATGTTGTGGCCCCTCCCTCTGCACCTGAGCCTCTCTTTTTTCCTCTGCCCCTTGTGTCCCATGAGCCTCTCTCCTCATTCCCAGGAACCTTCAGCTCTGTGCCCTCCAGCTGGGCAACTGGTTGGCCCACATCTCCATCAACTTCCCAGTGATTATTCCTTTAATGGGCACATGGGGCTTCCTGACATTTAACTGCTGTGTGACCTTGGAGAACTCACACATCCTTTCTGTGCTCTGGTATCCTTATGGATAAAGTGGGTCATGGGTAGCCCTGTAGCTCCTGGCATGGAGGAAGTACTGGAGTGGGGGCTTGTTAGAGAAGCTTAGCTCAGAGCAAGCACTCAGTAACTCCCGCCACACCCTAAAGAACATTTTCCATCTCCTCTAGCCCCTGCCCTGGCAATACCTTCAGGGTGGGGTCTAGTCTAGGATACTTCTGTGTCTTATACCCTTGGCTGCCACACATGTGTGCTCCAGATTGTGGCAGGAAGGCCAGCGAGTCCACAGTATGACTGTGTTTGACTGCACATTTGTTTCTCTTGAAGCCCTATCTCCTACTCTGCCTCGGGCCTGGGGTGCCTGTGCCAGTAGGACCTGAGCTTCCAGGCAGCAAGGACTGTGGCAGATCTCCTGGAACAGCTGTAAATAATGAATAAATTCCAAAGACCTGTGGGAGGGGCTTCCAGAGCAGGACCAGAAGGGAGCATTCCTATACCAGGCAACAGGCTTCCCTGGCCATGGCCAGATGCTCGGAAGATTCCAGGCCCAGTCTCAGGACCAGATGCCCAGAGGCCCTGACATCTGTATCGAATCTACTTACAGCTTGTTTGTTTGTCATTTCTTTGTCCCATGAACATGTTGGGAGCCCACACTGACTACAGGTGGCAGAGGGCCAGGTCTGTACAGCACACCCACTGGGGACTATGTCTGTTGATCCCTGTAGCTGCCTTGCTCAACAGCAGGTGATTTGAGCTCTACTGGGCCTTCAGCCTCCATTGCTAGGGGCTGTGGGAAGGAGGAACCAGGCTAGGCTCTACCTCCCTTCCTGGGGCCCAAGGGACAATGGAGGGGTCATGCAGGGAGCCCTGGGATCCAGGCCTAACTAGAGACCAAGGGGAGGCAGGGTAGCTGCCTCTTCACCTTTTCCTGCACCCCCTCAGGTGCGTTCTCACTTTCCCCCTCTTTGCGACTGGGTCCCTGAGCTAAGATTGGTTTGGGAAGGAAATTCATTCTTGGTATAGGCTTAGCCACAGGTAGGGGATTCTAGGACTCCTCACTTCCCACAGGGGAAGGAAAAAGAAAAGTCTTGGAGTACAGCTAGCCTGGGTTAAGTAAATTAATACAAAGCAACCCTGGTTTTGGAGTTGTCAGATGAGAGGTATGGGTGGTGAGCCTCAGTCCCCCATCTATACTGAGGTGAGGATAATGTCTGCTCCCAGGGTTGTGATAGAGACTGGTGCTTAGCACCTGACAGAGTGCTAAGCAAATGGTGGTTATCTGTCCTCTTTCTTCTTGTCCCAGAGGCTCAACAGGTGTACCCAGCCTGGGTCACCTTGAGTCAGTCCCTCTCACCCCCTGAGCTCCTCCCCTCAGCATAGACTGGACCCCTAGCTCTCTCCATCACTGCTTCTCCTGATAAAAGTTAGAGTCTTATATCCTTAACACAAGTATTTCTGCTGGTTCATCTGATGGGGGCACATACAGGTCATGGAAAGAACACCTAAATGAGACAAGTACCACCCCGGTTGGCTTCACTCTCACACAGGTAGCAGATTCAGCTTGCCTGCACTAAGGAACTGATGCAAAAGGGTCGAACTCTCCCAGCAGAGACCCATTTCCCTTGCTCCCAGAGAGTCTTGAGCCCCTGTCTTGGAGCACTCTGGAGTCTCTGGGCACACCTGATAGTTTCTACCCCTTCCCTAGACCAAGATGGAAGCTCCAGGGTTCTACTCTGTGTGTCTGAGCCTTGGCTCCAGCCACAAGGATCTGGGTTGGGTACAAGATGGCTGTGGTTGGCCATCAGGGCCTTATCTGTCTCACTTTTCATCTATTCCTCTGTGGACTGGCCTTGTTTTGCACACAGTAGGCATCTGAGAGATATACACTGTGAGAATAGAGTGGGACTGCAGAGACAGCTCAGTCAGTTACATGCTTGCTTTGCAAGTATGACGGCTTGCGTTTGATCCCCAGAACCCATGTGAAAATCCAGGTATCGTGGAATGTATGGTAATCATAGCACTAGGGATATGGAAACAGGTAGATCCCTGGGGCTCATTGATCAGTCAGTCTAGCTTAATTAGTCAGTTCCAGGCTCAGTGGGAGACCCTATGCTAGTTTTGTTCTTCCTGTGACAAAATACCTGACAAAATCAAGTTAAGGAAGGGTTTATTTAGTTCACAGTTCAAGAGCACAGTTCATTGTGGTGGTTTGAATGAGAATGTCTCCATAGGCTCCAAGTATTTGGACATTTTGTCCCCAGTTGGTGGTGCTGTTTTGGGAGGTCTTAGGAGGTGTGGCCATGCTGGAAGAAGCACAACACTGGGGAAGGGAGAGTTCTTAAGCCTTGCCTGATCTCGAGTCACTCTCTCGCTTCCTGTGCCTGCTTGAAGAGGTGAGAGCTTAGCTTCTGCTCCTCCTCTAGCCACCTCTGCTGGTGGTGTCAATCATCACAAACCCTTTTTTTTAAAAAAAAAAAAACAAGCGAGATGATCCCTCCTGAGGATTGGTAGAGATTGACATCTGGCCTCCACACACACACACACACACACACACACACACACACACACACCTGAACTCCCACACACCTGAAATCCTCTCACATTTTCTGGTAGAACAAAAGGCCATGCTACCCTTTTTCATATTGTTTTGATAATGTTAAATTGAAGGAAGTTTGCATCTTTCTGTGTGTCTCCTACTGGGACTGGGCACACTCTCTTCATGGTGAAGCAGAAGTCAACTTCCTCCATGTCTCACAGAGGCAAGTAACTGGCCAAGGTCCAGGCAGCACTAGGATATGGAACTCTGTGTGCTT